GATCGCGAAAGGCTGAGCGAGCGCCATATGTAATATATATTAATTAAAGTGTCCGATTATTTGCATCATCCTCCCAAACCAGAGCGAACGTCGGCCCGTGAAAGTCAGTGCTGCTTTCTTAACCGCGATAGAACTCAGTAAAAATCAGCAGAGCTCAGCCCAAGGCGCACGGTGGCTGACCCCTCTCGCAAATTGCTCAAAGAATTGTATTAAGAAAAATTAACATATTCGTTACCCGAAAAACTTTCGAAAGTAGTGCAGAATTAGAGAAACAAGCTCTTACATTTGTTACCAATGTGAAGAAAATTATTCAAGAAATTGGAATACATAATACATATAATACAGATTAAAGTGGATTCCAATTGGAAATCCACTCCGGAAGGACACTTGCAGGGGAAGGCGAAAGTCAGATTTAGTGTCTAGTACAATCTGTATCATCAACGACACACAGCTATACTACACAACCCCTAATATCAGGAGAAATAAAACTTTTGTCACCTCTTTTTTTTAGTTTTAAAAAAACAATCTAGCTAGTTTGGACCAGTTGTAGAATCCAAATTGTTCAAATCTCAAAATGCATACGTAGAAGCATCTAAATCTGGAAAATTAACTTCAGGTGAGTAATAATTAAATATAATTTAAAAATAATAGAATATTGGTAGAAAAATGTTAACAAATTCTTTTATTGCAGATCTTTCTAAAATTTTGTTGAAGAAAATTTTTCACTCAAATATTGGTCCTACTAGTATATTGCTGCTAGATTCTTGAAGTTGTCACTGCGAAAAAGTAATTGAAGAAACTAGACAAGAAAATAAGATCGTTAATGTTATGAATATTCCAACTGGAACTACAGGAAAAATCCAACCATTAGATTGTTTACGGATTTCGAGTGTGGAATAACTTTGTTCGACATTTTTTAGATAACGTTATTTTAATGGATTACAATATGAATTTACATTCGAGAAATAATATTATTAGGCATCAGTCATTGGTTCATAACCAATTTTCGTCACCAAGATATTTAAATCTTTTTAAATATTCTTGTTTTAAAAGTGTATATCTCGAAGAAAAACTGGAAAAATGTGATAATTCGGTTGATTTTAGTTTCGGGGATTCTTGTAGTTCAAAATGCGAAATCGAAGGGTGCCGAAATGCTGCAATTATACGTTGTGGCTGGTGTAAAAAGTCCCCATGTTTCAAACATTTTTTTGATGATTATTATTACTGTTCAGATTTTATCAAATAAAAAATTAAAATAAAACGTTTCTTCTAAATTGTATTAAATTTTATAACAGTTTATATTAGTAAGTGTGCAGCACTCTATCAAAAAATTGGTACAAAGACAAATGAGTTAAAAGTAGAGTTATGTAAAATATATAGATTAAATATAATTTTCTCTTTTTATCGATTCTGTATAAAAATAAGGTTTTTCACCATAAAGGAATATCATAGGAATTCATATACATTTTCCCAATTTATTTTCATTAGAAACGAGATTGCCATGCCTATAATTTAATTAAAAACAAAGAAACTGTTTATCTTTATTTTCTTTCAAAACATAAACATCTGCTCAAAACTAAACTATTTTTTCACTGCGAAAATTCATGTCAATCTTTCAATTTTTCACCTATCAACAATAGGGGTTGGGTCACCAGAAATTGTTATACTTTCGATAAGGAATATTGGTTATCCACTTAGTTTTACTAAAAAATATTGATTAGAAGAAAAGTTAATACTTGAGACTGTGACTTTTAGAATATGGAAAATTATAGTTAATAAGATAATATTTTAGTGGTTTATGAATTTTATTTTAAGATTGTTGGAGATACTGTCCACTCAGAGTTGTTTTTGAAAAACATAACACCAGTCACTACTTCGCTATTTTATATTTACTTTTAAAATTCATGATCGTGATTGATTTTTCTGCATGAATAACCGTAATGACCTTCAAATATCTTAGAACCTTAAGTAGTACGATCTAACGGAAGTCAACATTCTATTTAACTGATATTATATGATGCTAGCAGTTTGAAAAAAATTGGATTTTCTGTTTGCCTCCTCTCAGAAGATCGCTTTGACGTGTACCTGCAAGCTGGTGGGAAGGCTAAACGTCAGAACGGCGGACCTAAAATCCTCCGCTGTCAAAACAACAGATCAGGCTACGCTACCCCGGATGGTTCGAATCCCTATATACGGACTCTTTGATTGGGTCTGTGTTTCAAAAGAGGTGTTTTGGCTCGTCTCGGCAGATAAGTATATCTTGACTATCGGAGTGATCAAGAAACACTCACCAATCTAAGGTGTCAGATACTGTGCTGATAAATACGTGGTACTATAAATGCTGCGCAATAAACGGTTCCTTTAGGATAAAATCCGGATGTATGTAACCTTACTCAATATTGTGAACTAGTCGGGTGGGCAGTTTGATACCCACGTTACCCGTAGGAACAAAATTAATTTTCCACCAAAAAAAACCCCAACGTAGGGAAAGAGAAACGGGACGATAGCCGGATTTCTGATCCAATGAAGATTTAAAAACAGACAGACCCAGTTGTGACACTTCAAACAGCAAACCATGAAGGAACAGGCTTGAACCGATATCTGAGTGGAGTACAAAGGAGGAAACTTCTAAGACAGAAAGCGCTGGATGAGGGAAGACTAATGACTGAGTTCGAGTAGGTCAGGACGTTGAGAAGGAGGACGGAGGGGCATGCAAATGCCACTAAACCTCAACTCGTAGAGGAGTCTGATCTGAGTGAGAAAGGCCGGCTTTAAGCATCCTTGGAACGACCTTACCAGACCTGCATTCGAGCAAAAAGGTGAGAGAAGCGGGAAGTTACGAGGCTGTGGTAGCAACCAACTCTAGGATCCTTCTCACTTATAAAGACTATCATGGTAAAGAAATGCCTGTAGAGATCGTCAAGCGGATACAGAAGACGGTGGCAAAAAAAGTCATCGAGCTGGAAGAGAGGACATTCGTATCTCGATTTGCGGAATCCCACCCAAGGAAAGGAGCCTTGCTCTTTGTCTATGAGAACAAGGAGTCGGCGACCTGGCTTGAGGGGGAGACCAAAAAGCCAGATCTGGGAGTACCGGACATGAAGCTCCGGGTAGTTAGACTAGAGGAGGTGAAAATCGTCAAAGTGATGACGAGACTACCCGCTGGGGTAGGGTCTACGATGGATTTCCTAAAGCTGGTCCTGAGTTTCTCACGTTTTTTTGCATATAATTGTTTATTAACCAAAAATCGTATTTATCCAAAGTATATGAAATTTCTTTACATGTCTCTTAATATTTTAATGATGTAAGAAATGTAAGAAACCCATTATAAATCCGTTGTAAAGAAAATAAATAATTGAATGGTAAAAGAATTTAGGTGGTAAGTATACTTACCACTATGCTTTAAAAAAATTAAATTGGTATTACAAATTCGTAGTCGCCCAACATCTGTTGAAACTGAGGAAAAGCAGCTTGAAATTACTCAAGTGGTCATTGGAAATTCGCATCTTGGTTTACGTAGAGCTGGGTATGAAAATGACGTTTCTCATGAATGCATACGAAAAATGTTGAAAAGCATTCATTTTCATCCTTATAAAATCCATTTGGTAATGAAAATGATCCCGATCGTCGGCTCGAGTTTTACGAAACGATGATGAATAGAATAGACGCAGAGTGTAATCTTGTATACAATATAATTTTTCAGATGGGGCTACTTTCACTTTAAATGGTGAGGTTAATAGACACAATTGCAGATATTGGTCTGACTCAAACCTGCATGGATGTTGGAAAACCTCACACAATATCCATAAAAGGTGAGTGTGTGGACTGATATCTTTAAAAATACTCTTGTAGGCCATTTTTTCATCAACGGTAATTTCACTGCAGCTTTATACGAACAGTTACTCAGGGATCAAATAATACCACGAATTAGAGAGATAGCAAGTGATGATTACGATGTAAATTGGTTTCAGTAAGATGAAGCAGCTGCTCATTTTGATCGAAATCTTCGAGCATATTTGCACGCTCAATTTCGTCGTAGATGGATTAAAAGAAGGGGTTATATAGAGTGGCCAGCTAGATCTCCGGATCTGATACCACTCGATAAATTTCTCTGGGGTTACCTTAAGAGTAAAGTTTATGGCACTAAATCAAACAGCTTAGAGGAACTACTTAATCGAATTATCGAAGAGGCTACTAGAATTGATAGAGTAATGATTCGTGATTCTGTTGCACATTTTCATAATCACCTAGTTTTTTGTCAAAATGTTCAAGGTTTTCAGTTTGAGCATTGCCATTAAACTTTGAACCTTTAAGTGAGAGGTAAGAGGATTCACTAATCAAGCATCCCAAGGGAAACCGATCTTACTCCGTTTACGTCGTTGTTTCTGGGTAAGAATAAGGATGATAGTCAAGTAATTTAAAAAATACTGTCTAAATGTAAAGTTTCCCGCTCTATCGATTTTCGGTAATAAAATTAGGATTTCCGATTAAAATCCAATTGACTTTGAAATTACCTTGAAGGTCAAGTGGAGGTCGAGTTGGAGATCAAGTTGAAGGTAGCTACTGGATTCCTCGTTAAAAACTACAAAAATCAAAACTTAACCGATCGAAAAAATATTTAAAGGTATCTCAATACCTTGGTTAGGGGTAGATGGTAGTAACCCTTAAGGTCGAATTTTTTTCTGCAACCTAAACACATATCTAAACGTAAAAATTCCCGCTGTATTGATTACTAGTGTCAAAAATAGGGGCTCCCATTCGGATTCCTTGTTCAAAGTTACTAAAGGAATGACCTTGACTTTTTTCAGAAGTGAAGTAATTTAGAAAATATTTAGCCGTCCCGGGACTTAATTAACACCCTGCATCAAAGCCCGTATATAACTACAAAATATATATTTTTATAAAGATTCAAAATGAATTTTGCACCATTGTACATGTACATCGGGCACTATATGCTGCATATTTCTCTGATATATAAATAGTATAGATGTATTACTTACTCCAATAAAAATTCTTCATCCCAAACTGGATGAGGACCGGTTTTTAATTTCGTACGAGCCACTTTCACATTATCTAATGATACTATTATAAATGGACTTGGAACTAATTTATAAGGTAATCTATGGGCATCCAGAATATGTAAACTGAGCGAACGTAATTCTCTAAGCCGTGCTACTTTTGGTGCTCGTGCAAGTTGAGATACACAAAGCGGTTTTAATGTATTAATCCAATCCAAAGATATTTCAGCATTTGGAGCGGCTAAGTATGTTATCGTAGATAAACATGGAAGAGCTCTTTCCACTAATTGGAAGCAGTGAGGTCTATCAAAAACACTTTCATGAACCTACAAATAGATAAGTACGATAAGAGAAATTATTATTGCGTAAAAATACAAGTTTTATAAATTTTCATAATTTTTGAAACTTTGCTGTTATAAATATCAAGAATAAATTTCAATAGCATTCGATATATTTAGTCACAAATAATGACTATTGTATCATAAAGATATGTTTTGATAACATGAGAATCAAAAATAATTACACCACCACTCACACAAAGTTTCCCATCTTAATTAATGAACACTAAATAGAAACACTTTTATATGTCCGGTTGAAGTTATGCAAAAAAATTTTTTGTACATAGCTTAGAAAGCCTTATGAAAAAGCTTTCAAATAACAGAGGCAGAACAGAAAAATATTTATATATAAAAATTTTTTAGAAGAATAGAAGTCAAATTTATTTCATAAATTTTTTATACATTTTGGATTAACTACCAATCACGATATTATTTATAAAACGAAACGCTACACCTATAGAATTAAAATATTTTTGTCCCTTTACCGAAGCCTTTGTCAAAATATTTTTGTCCCTTTAACAAACAAGCCAAATATCCGACGCTAAAATGTTGCCGAAATAGCAGTTTGTATGCGACATACAGTCTTTATTACGCAAACGGCTAACTGCGCAGTTCCTCACTCTTCGCAGTTCAGCAACTTCGGTACGGACCGATCTCCAGAAGAAATGTCTATGTAAGTCGATGCCGTTTTCCGCGGAGAGTGAGAGACTCGTATAGACTTCTGCCAAATATATGCTTTTGACGAAAGCACATCGCGAGAGTCGGAGAGAGGCAGTCCTCCTAACTCACGTTCTTGCGAGAGTTGTTGAATAGGAAAAGGAGCGACTCAAAGGACGAAGTTGAATGAGTAATAACCCTTTGGTTGGTGACATTAATTATCATGCTAGTGGGCGAGCCATTGCTGGCCTTTCTTTCGATTGCGGAGAGGACTGGACATACTCCGCAACAGCGAGCGAAATCATAACGAGCTACATGAAAATAAAAACGTTTAACTCTCTCGTAAGATTGAAAGTATAGTAGTAATAAAGAAATCGATACCATCAAATTTAGTAAAGTTACAATTCGAATCGAAACATTCCGCCAATTCCTCTAGACTTGTGAAGTATAACTGGCTATGAGCGGTGCTAAAGTCATTCCACTATTCTCATCGACGCTGGACTGCAGTTCGTCAAATCGTAGGAGAATCTACAACTCAAAGGTGGCGAAGGGTAATCCGTCAGAACGGGTTTTTTCTTCCGATTATTCTTCCTAGCTTCGCTCGCTCTAGATAGATTTTCCTAGTAAATTGCGGTAATACTCGAGATTAAAAAGAGAACAGTAAATATTTTGTAAATTTCGGACCTAACAAAAGCAATGTTGCATTTTAATTTTTTTTTAAGTTGTAGTTTTTATAAAAAAAATATGATGATATTCAATTACTTATACCTCTGAAGTATTAAAAACAATTAAAAATTCTAGAGAAAAAATTGATAGTTCCTACAGCAGAAAGACACCCACAGAGTTACAATTCTAAATATTGAAATTTTTTTTTCACTTTTTTATAATTTTTTTTTATTTTAAGAAAAAAGTCAAAATGAGAAAGTAAACTGTGTTTTTGTAACTTTGATTTATCAATATTCATAGATAATTTATTATTAATTTTAATTTATTAATAAAATTAATTTAAAACTACGTGTGAGCGGAAGTGTATTGTATACACACAATATCACATTAGTAAAGAATTTTCGCTTTTACTAGACCGTATACGAGGTGTGTTCAAAAAGTATCGCGAATTTTGAATTTCCGTGGGCTACGTATCGTAAATTTGATGTTTTATTTTTTTATAGCGTTATGTTGGTACTCATGTCCATTACTTATGCTGACAAGGTCGGTCATTTTGAATGTTTAGTTAATTTTTGACAGCTGTTTTACTAAACATTCATTGCTATATGTCTCATTCGTCCTTCTTATATAAATTTTTCATTTACTAACAAAAATTTCAAATGTTACCTTATTGGACCATAGAACTTTCTTCTAATCATCAATTACACAGCCTTACGTGAAACTTACTCATTAGATGAGATTAGCTATTTCTAGTAGATTAGCTATTTCTAGCCCATAGAATCATTCTAGCATATCAAGTTTTTAATTATCCTAACCTAAAAGTGCAAAAAATGCTGTTTTTCGCTGTATTTCAGGTACAATAACATCTTGAATAAACTTCTTTTTTGAAAAACTGAAAACGCTATTGTAAAGAAGCACTCTTGTCCTCTAAAACCCTTTTTTTTAAGTTTTGAATATATTTTTTTCTGTCGAAGATATCGTTATTTGAAGTTTACTGTTATAGCAATTTCCTTACAGTCTTAAAATAGAGCGAGTCATTTAAAAAATCGATGTAATGTATTTTATGGTCATTTGGATCACCGAATCGATACTCATTGTCAAAATTGCATCATAACCCCAGAATACTCTGATAACTTAGCCTAAAAATTCGAAAAAACCTGAACCCTATTACGGACCCTCATAAAACTTTTTTCTACAGATATAACATTAGTGTGGATGATTGAAATAGTATTTTTTATAGGACAAAGCATTACTGGACACCTTTAAATGCCTAACCTATATCCACTGATACGATGGACATTTGAGCAGATGTCGCTTCAACGATGAACATTTTGTCCTAAAACGGTGCAAGAGAATCTTATAACCCAATTTCCTTGACCCGCAGGCTTGGTAACTTCGAGGCAGACGCAATTCTAACAAGTTCACCTTTCATCTAGGTGGCTACCACTTTCGTTTAGTGGAGTGACAGAGTTTGCTCTACTTCACTGGAGAGCTGAAAGGATGCAGTCGAACGATATAGTTCTTACTTGATACTGCAAATATTACTATCCGTGTTAGAGACCGTGTTTAAGCGGCGGGCTAACGGATAAGTATTCAAAATATAGAGAACTCCTTGCAAAGATAAAGTTAATTACTTTTGTTTTACGGTACATTTCAAGCGTTTATTTATTTATTTTGTATTTCTCTTTCTTACTTAATTATATTTATTTATTTTTCATTTTTATTTCTTATTTACTTTTATTTAATTATTTTTAATTCTTATTTATGTTCACTTCATAAAGTAATAAAGTTGCTACTGTTCAATCAGAATTTTATTTTCAATAAAATTGAAAATCTTTATCTTTGCATTTTTCATTATATCAAATACTTGTATCATTGTGAACGGCAGACCTTCATCATTTATATTAAGTTAGTTGGAAAATTGAAAATACTAGCTCTGCCCTTATCAATACAATAAACTACAAATCTTCAGATAACATTAACATAATCAAGATATTTTCTTAGTACTTCGTGTAAAACAGCTTTTTAGATATTATTTTAAATCAAAAACTTAAATTTTTATAAAAAATGTCTTCATGACATTATGTGAATGACCGGCAGAAGTTTTGTTATGTTTGTGGTGATTTCGTCCCAACTAAACAACATAAATCCATAACAACGTCTATCAAATGATTGTATAAATAATATTTTAATAAAGAATTGACCAATTTAAATAAAACTTGGGTTCCTAACATGATTTGCGATACGTGCAGAGTAGGTTTAACAAACTGGAAAAATGGCAAAGAAAGTGTATGCCATTTGGCACTTATATAGTATGGCGAGAACTAAAACATCACGTTGATGATTGCTATTTTTGTTTATGTTATAGTGGTGAACAAATCAGTTCCTTCAATAGCAGAAATAAACACACTATTAAATATGCAAACGTACAATCTCTTACAAGACCTACTCCTCATACACCTGAACATCTCATTCCTGTTTCAAAAGTCAGATTGGAAGCAGAAGAAATAGAAGACGAAGAAGAAGAATAAGAAGAGGAAGAGGATGAAGAAGAAGAAAGAGAATAAAGATATAAAGATGAAAATGAATTTGAAGTTGTTTATAATAGCAACAACCTGCACTCATCGTTTGGTAAACTTGTACGTTTAATCAGGCTGAGTTGAATGACTTAAATCGAGATTTAGGGAATTCGGAAGAAGAATCGATGCTGTTAGCTTCAAGATTGCAAGAAAAATGTGCGCTTTCTCCCGAGGTAACTTTTATTTGGCACAAAAATCGCGAGGAAAGATTTCTAAAATATTTTACAGAGGCGGAATCATTAACTTTTTGCAACGATGTTTTAGATTTAATGGCTGCTTTAGGCCTTCAAATTTATAATCCACACGAGTCGAGACTTTTTATAGATTCCTGTACCCGCATTTTGGAAGCAGCTCTCCTTCATGATGGAAATCTGTATGCGTCTATTCCTATTGGATATCCAACAGTATCAGATGAGAAATATGAAAACATGAAAGAAACTTCTTAAAAAAATAGATTACAAATAACATAAATGGAAGATATGCGGTGATTTTAAAGTCATATTCATTCTTCGAGGTCAACAAAGTGGATATACCAAATATCCATGTTTTATCTGCAAGTGGGATAGTAGAGCTGATAAGGAGCACTAGATAAAAAATAACTGGCCTATTAGGAAGAGTCTGATACTCGGATCCATGAACGTCCTTCATGAAGTCTTAGTTGATGCAAAAAAATTCTCTTACCTCCACTGCATATAAAATTAAATCTAATGAAGCAGTTCGTAGAAGCGTTCGATCAATGAAGTGTATGTTTTCAGTATTTATATAAAAATTTCCAAAACTTAGTGACGTAAAAATAAAATCAGGAATTTTTATTGGACCTCAAATTAAATTGCTGTGTATAGATGAGGATTTCACAAAAACTATGTCTATCAAAGAAAAAAATGCCTAGTTTGCATTTGAAAAAGTCGTAAATGGTTTCTTCAGAAATAAAGAAGAAAATAATTAGAAAAAGCTTGTAAAAGATATGTTAGAAAATATGAAGATCTAGGATACCGTATGAGTCAAAAACTACTTTTTTGCATGATAATCTCGATTTTTCCAGATGGAAATTAAGGTGATGTAAGTGCAAGAAGAGAGATTTCACCA